CTACGCTACGTCCCGCACGCCGGACTGCCGCCACTCGCATTTATGGTCCTAATGAAAACCACTTTAATTAATTCACAGCAATCACATGCGCCGTGCACGCCGCAGCTTTTATGTTTATTGTTTCCATATCATTTTAAAGCACCACATTTTGATTTCTCAAGAGTGTCACCACCATTATGTTTTGTTTGCTGAATGACTGTTGTGTTTATTAACAGTGTAAGTATTATTACGATTGTTCAATTGTTATTAGGTACGCAACTTTTCACTTAATGTTATTAGAATCATGTTAATAGCTCGGCTATTTTCATAATTATTTTAATTTCGTGCCAAAGCGAGGCACGCCTGTTACGGCCTGTTTTTGCCACTTCTATTTCTACATTAACGCAGATAACATCTCATAATCACGTAAGGTTTTATTATAATAACAATTAAGTTAATAATTATTCTAAAAAGCGTCATGCTATGTCGCATGTCATTTTATGGACCATTACTTTCGTAGGTATTAAGTAAAATAGGTATGTGCCTAAATATCTATACTTAGGAATTTAGATAAGTACGTATACCTAAGTGGTTAAAGAATGCCTATGTAGCAGGCCTTTACTCATTTAGGAAGCCACCTGCTTACACACTTTGGTTCTGTTCAATTTCAGAGTTCATTCTATGAAATATTTCAGGTAAGTACATATTGTTTTTCATGAAAATAAGGACCTACTTAGCCACCTTGGTACAACGACTTTGTAAGCGACAAACTTAGAGCGACTTATTGTAGGATAGGTGCATAGGATTCTAACTACATAGGCAATAGGCAGCTGTTGCACCAACCTAGATATTTCACAATCTTTGATCTAGCCAGTTTATACCAAAGACTTCCAGATCGGTTAGTTGGGAACGATACGTCACTTGCATCTATACGATATTTATTATGTCGTTTGTCCATCTAGTGGGTGGACATTTTACGTAAGTACCTACAAGCTTCAATAAGAGCTTTTCGTTTGTTTCTAGATAGATATGTAACCTAATCAAAGCGACCTAAGTACCTTGTTAGCTTTGCTAAGGGCCGATTTTTCAATCGTCAGTTAATTTTTAATTGTAGAATAAAATTGACAGTTGACAGTTTTTAGTATGGAAGAATGGTCAAATATTGATAGTTATTCCTTAGTTAAAATTTATCTGAGCATTGAAAAATCGGCTCTAAGTGGTATAAATTTACATGACTCTAATGATTAATACCATATGAAAGTGCAGGTACCATAGGTAGACGTGGGTCGATCTTGAAAAACCACAGTTATGAACAAAATGACAACATCAAACTTTACATAGAATTTTCATGATATAACTTTTTCGCAAGCTATCTTGCACGTGGTCGACGCAAAAATGTTAGATAGTTTAAGCTGCTAACGGACAGACGTCTGGGATGAACTTCTAACTGCATGGCAATGTGGATGGGAATGTGGATGGGAATCTTCCATCAAAGACTGGCACTTTTATTAGTCCTTATTAGTTCCTTTCGTGCACGAGCGGCTGAAGAGGACATGGTTGGAGGTGGATAATTATGTTGCCCAATTTCTCACAGGCCATGGTAACTTTAAAAGCAAAATTATTCTCAATGGTGCCAATGTTCGACAGCGGAGTTACAATAATTTTCGTTCATTTATGCGTTTTTGCCATATCTGTTGAAACAAGTGTAAGAGCACACACATTGAACCCTTAAGTTTATTTATAGTTAAATGCTGTGAGAAGCCCAGTCGCCGAGCATTCGTAGTGCTCAAGGCAGGAAGAGGCACTGGTTTCGTTTTCTCCTCATTAATATCCCTAAAAGACATGCTGCGATTTGAATGTTTCAGTCTTGTCATGGTTAGAATCTACTAGTTACTTCTTGGGTTACAGGAATTGAAGCAGTTTTGGGAGGTTGTAGCAAGATTGGGAGGCTGCCTAATTAAATTTTCCTAAAGGTGTTTTAACTTAGTGAGAAAGCTCAATATCTCTATAGCCGAACTGTTGATAATCAACATCATTTCATCTTCAGATCAGTTCGGTGCAAAAAATTATCAATTAAATAAAACGCATCTAACACGTCTTTTCTAGGAATTAAATCTCGTACGTGATCACTTGCGATTCAATAATCATCTTCAACAGCCCTTGGTTAGGTTAGGCTGGACTAAATTCTGCCGGGTGCGGTGAATCTGCAAGGGCGTCCTGGGTCACGTTACGGCCACAGGCAGAGGAGGAACACCGCGGTGGTCTTAGCCGGTAACAGTCCGGCACACACCTCCATCGTCCCCACGGCGTGGGATTAACATGAGGAGTTCCAACGCGTTATAAAAAAATATATAAAAAATGCTGAACTGAATTAAACTCCATTGTTTCAATAGTAGGTAATTTAATCATTTTTATGGATTGCCAGTACCTATACATATGTTAGATTATAAGATTTTTTTTTAGTAAGTTTTGTAATTAGCATAATGCGTTAATGTCTTTGCATTGTTCTCACATATACGTACAGTATTGGAATATATATCAGAGACACTGTAGAACATACTTTTTCAAAAAGAGTAACGAATGGAGTTTCTTGCTCGTTCTTCTTCATTCGAATCTACATTTTGGAATGAGCACCTAGCTTCACCTAGCTTCACTGACGGACTGACTGACAGACTATTATTTATTAACCGACTTCATTTTGTATTTGTTGATGTTTCAAAAGTACCAAAATATGGTTTAATTGAAATAAATGCTCTGACTTTGACTTTTTGATATCATACTGACATAACAGTCACACTAAAATTTATATGTAGGTAAGTACAAACCAAAAAGCTTCCACATTACCCTATTCAGTAAGTAAGTACCTAGCTAGTAGCTACATAGGTACTTACAGTCTGCATGAATCGTTTTATTATTCATTCGTGATTAATTAGACTGAGTCGTGACTTCAATCAGCTTATTTTGATGTAAATTCTACGTAAAGAGTATCAAACAGTACTTTCCCTATAATAAGTATCTATCTATATGCATAGATTAGGTAGGTATGTACATAATTTCATCCTCACTAACACCCAATAACATCACGCCTTTCATCCTCGAAGGGGTAGGCAGAGGTGCACATTACGGCACTTAATGCCACAATACAATGTAATACCCACTTTTCACTATTTTATGTTATGAGTCCCATGTGAACCTATTGCCATATACCGGGCACATTTCTAGGCTCCGGGCAACCATTGAGAATTTAACAGCCACATAATTATAGGAATCTAGTATATCACTTACCTTCCCAAATTAAGATTGTTTATTAATTTATCTGAACCAATACAGGTATCTAAGTAGTAATTAAGAAGCCATAAGACCATTCGAAATAAAAGATAAATTAGTTCGTTATAAAATCTAATTTTTATGTGTGATGTAACGATTTGCATTGAGAAAATAATAATTAAACAACCGGCAGCCGGATCAAATTTCAAATTGCTATCAAAACGGGACGCATTCATATTTTGTAGGGTGACCATACGGCGGTTGAGCGTGATGTGAAACGTAGTTTTATGACCATTTATTGTCCTTTTTTGGAATGAAGAATTGCTTTTTAGTAAATAACTAATATTTTAGATTAATACTACGAGTTTATAATATAAAAAATGTGAATTTGCAAGCATATTTAGGTATTCGTCTATAACTGAGCACTTCCCTGTTAATAGTTTTAATTTAAGTGTTTAGTGGTGCTTTCCGCTACTCCAAGGCTATGCAATCTTTAGCCCCTATTAGCTCAGTTATACCTGTCTCCATTTCAAACCGACCCACAGATCTTAAAGTCCAGTTGAAACCATTCAACGTTAACTTGCGAATGCAAAAAATGCTTGCAATTTTTTGGTCTCGGCGACAAATCTCTCTTAAAAACCTAACATGGTAACTGTAGTCGGTGTTGTAATGGTGTGCGGGTTGTGAGACAAGAGATCTCCCTGGCGGCCATTTGTCGCGGGCGACAGCGCAGCAGCTCTCCCCGAGGCGTCGTTAGGGACAGCGCGCGTCAACGCTACTACGCTGATTTATTCCCCTTTATTCGCGCTATTTCGCACATTTTCGCGCTTATTCGCCTTCAACCACATTTATTCCAGCTCCCAGAACTGACACATAAATGTCGCTTTTGTTTCTCTTTACGAAACGATTTAGATGCTCTGTACGCTCGGGGACGATTCCCTTGAACCTTGATCCTTTTGGTAAAGGGTTAGAATATGTTAGTTTGGATTGAAATTGCACGGCTTTTTATTTAGTTGTTGCGTACAAATGTCTTGTAATCTTAAAACTATATTTTAAGTGTTTTTTATAAGTTCACCAGTGGGAGTGTTCAGCACCAGTTTAGGAGAGTCCTTTCCGTAATGGTAAGGAAATATTTGTTGACTAAATTAGTAAATAATTTATATTTTATAGGAGTGTGTATTTATATTAATTATTGTGAGACATAAGTACTAAATTAACTAAAAATCGCGGGTTACTCGCGTGAATATACTGAGAAAAGCTCTACTTGTTTCGAACCACAGAGGGGTTCTTCCTCATAAGCAGCGTGCGCAGTTGCGGCGATATCTAAGGTAGGTTAATTTAGAATGTGTATCGTCACATATTTATATTTTAGTGGGTCCAGAGTAGATTTTAATGAGACTTTACGAGAGTGAGACTTTAATTTCGGTTACTTATTAGCCTTCAATAATAATTCTGCCTTTCAAATAAGACACAGGTACCTATTCATTCATAGTCCAGTCATTCCTATAATGGTAGGTGGCTATAAAGGTACCGATTTTAGTCGAGACAAACCGACATGAATCGATTCTTAAAACAAATAATCACACAAGTAACTATCACCAAAATAGTCAAATCGTTTAAGTAAACACATAAAAATATTTCACATTAATTATAGTTCATCTCGTAATGACCCGTAACTACGTCAGCTGATAAAACAAACAGATAACGCAGTTGTCCGAAGTTTTTACTGACGTTTGTACGTAAAATTATTTACAATGGCGTCTATAACATTACCAATAAGTATTTCTGAAGTAAATTCTTTGAGTGATGAACAATTTGAGTCAACGTTTGCTAATGTTATTGAATTATGGCCTTATGCAGCTAAAGAGGTGAAAGGGAAGAGGCCGTTCCAGAATGTACCAGCTCTTTGTGAAGCATTCCAATCTTATTTGGAAGATATTACGTTAGAAGGTAAGGTTATAAATATTTAAAGAAAGGTTCTAATTAACATAATTATTAAAAAAAATAAGATACTTAGGGGACTTGTAAGATCATCATCTAAGTGGCAAGTAGAAGAACCTACCTGTTTGCTTTGGCAAAGGGGTCTGGTATAGGGATTAAAAATGAAACTTTAAGTTTGTTCTGAAATGCAGTAGGTAAAGGTTTATAAATAAACCATAACCATTTTTGCAGAGAAGTCCATATTTTAACAAATTACAGATAAGCTGACAATATTGAAGCTGCACCCTGACCTAGCGGGACGGTTGGCAGCGAGAGGTGAGCTAACGGCAGAGTCTGCTGGAGAACAGAGGGCAGCTGGCCTGGAAGGGCTAACGCCCGAACAGAAGAAAACCATGGACGAGAGTAATCAAAGGTCAGATCAATCAACATCCAGAATTTGTTCACTATTGAACAATGGCTACCTTCTAGAGATGGCTTGTCATAATCCAAAGGCAGGTGGCTTGGGGATACCAGTTAGGGAAAAGAAATGAGACAAAAATAAAACTAACGATAATTGCAAGGATGTTACGCACATCTCCACTCATATCTTTCGAAAAAAAAAGGATAGGACAAAAGTTATGGCATAAGATCACATGAGTTTGTTCTTTGTTTATCCACATAAAAATATCTAAATTGGAATGGAGCCTAAAACTACCCACTGGTTGTCAACTTTTGCTTAGTCTACCGGAGTAGATTTCAAATAAATTGTGCCTAGGTAGGAAATCCTAACGAATGAAATAACGATGAAATTGTATTTCATCATATCGATTTTAATAATATCTTTTTAATTATATCCGAAACGTTGGTCATAACGACATCTAGTGAGTTATATTTGTCAACTAGTGATAGTGCTGCCATCTTTTGAGGATAGGACGTAAATTATTCCAAACGTTCAAAATGAACTGTTTATTCTGTTCTTTACTAGATGGCATAACTGAATTTCTCAATGGAGCAATTGAAAATTTGGTGAAATAAAAGTGTGTAGGAATAATAATAATCTTTGGATATGTATTTACGTTTTACGTGGAGGACTCAGGGGGAGGCCTTTGTCCAGCAGTGGACGTCCTCCGGCTGTTGATGATGATGATGATGTATTTATTTACGTTTGACTAAATACAAATATTTAAAATTGTAACAATAGTCTTTTATTTCAGGTATAAAGCGAAGTTTGACTTTCCCTTCATCATTTGCGCGAGAGAAAATAAAGTACAGTCAATAATTGAAGGACTACAACATCGGTACAGCAATAATAGGGAGCAAGAAATTACAACTGGTATCAATGAAGTGAAGAAAATATGTAAGCTTCGCATACTCGACATTGTAAAGAACTGATTCGTGAATAAAACAAAAGCTTCTAACTAAAACATCGACTTTCTAATACTAAGTTACTAAAGCTCCTTAAAAATTAATATTAACAATGTAACATCGTAATCACAGATATAATAAAGTAATATTTCTGTGATTGTAATTCTCACTAGTAGCACGGAGTCCGGAATTGTGCCCGATATATGGGACTCAACATAAATAGTAAAAAGTGGGTGTTACATTTTACAGTGGTATAACGTGCAGCTCTGTCTACCCCATCGGAGATAAAAGGCGTGATGTTATGTAATGTAATGAAAGAGGATGGTTGACACTTCACGTGATCGAAAGGCTGGCTATTACCTTAGTTAAAGGTTAAGCATTGCCATCCAGTGTGGCAATGCTGATAATCTTTTGGGCGCCTTCACGACTGCTATGAGAATAATTTTTTCGGGCGCCGTTAGATATTTTCTTGTCTTTTTTTCTTTTCTTTTTATTTCTGTTTTCTTATTAAAATAAAAAACAAAGTATTAGTATAAGTTTTTATTAAAAATCAGCAGTACAATACAGAGAAACCTAAAATAACTAGCTCACAGTATTCCGAGAGATCGCTCTACAACAGCATGGGGCTGACCAGCTACTTCACACATCTCTGGAGTGTTCAGAATGTCTTCAAAACCAATATCCAAGTGTTTGCCAGTCAACACATCGTGCTGGAAGTTTGACCTCTGCAGGAAAGGAAGGTGCCCAACCTGGAAAAGAATTTTCAAAAAGAATGTTAGGATGTTTCCCCAGAATATTATCCACTTACGTCTATCATAAGTTAATCCCTAATCTTATTTAATTAATTGTTCAATACGAATGTATCATTATGATAGGTCATTTTTTAACTTACCCAACTAAAAGCTTGCTAACAACAATATGGTATTGTTTCCGCATGTCACATTACATTGCACAGTAACAATTTCCAGCATGATTTTATAAACTGTGTACTAACATATATTTTGTTAGATTTATTAAAAACTTACTTTGTTAGTGAACTTCATTTCCATGGTGAGTTTGAGTGGCGCATGCAGACCCTGGATGTTACGGAGCATAGCCATGTTCATCTTTTCCTGATTTAAATGATACTGCAAGAATAATAATACAATCACACATTAGTTTATATAGTCTTAGTTTGTTTTATTAACCTCTTCACCTCTTTTAGTATAAGTGCAATATAAAACATATTGTTTTATGCTTAGATCTACAATCTGGCAAATCATAGGTTAATCCATGAACTAAGTTTGTTTTTAACATTTGTGCACCTAAACCAATAAACAAATTTTGATACAGAAGTTAACAAAACCTGGTATGCCTTAAATACTGTTCAGAAATATGCAATAAAATATGCTGTAAAATATTATCCAACAATTCTAACTTTTACTCCGAACAAACAGTACCCATGTTCCTATTTGAATCAAAAGTGATTTTTGTTTAGTCATCATGGGTTAATAAACATCATGTAAAAGTATAACTTTAAGAAAGCATGTTTCTAAGTGTTTAACATTGTAAGATCACTAACAAGGAATATGTCTTCCTTGTTTGCATAATGTTATCTCGTTTTGAATGTTGAGGTCTAAGGTTCTAAGATGTGGACCTCTAGGAATATATTAAAGGTTTCGGCGAAAAGCCATGATCTTAACTGATTCGTTTTCTAATTAGTTTGTGACTCCAAAAAGGGATATACTTACATTTCTCTCAGATATTTCTATCGGGTGAGACATGCCAAGTTTGGACTTCGTAGCAGCCATACCGGCCACCAGAGGGTTGGGCACTCCAAATGGGCCTTCCTGGGGCTCAATATTACTGACATGTTCAGGTTTTACTTTCAACGGAGGCAGACCAAAACTCTGAAATCATGATTTGCTGTTTTAGAACTTGTGTTACGATTCATAACCCTCCAGACAAAGTGAATCCAACTTACCATTTTGATATTTTTATAATCAACTGATTAATTTATAAGTAGATTTAAAACTTCTTTTCGTTTACTATTTCAATAAAAGCGAGAAAATCGTTTTGAAAATATCACAGGCAAGGTACGCCGACGAATCTTTCTCTGTCAAACTGTTTGCTGTCAAAATTGTCAAAACTGTTAAATCATGTCCACAGATTATTAATCTTGCGTGTTCTTATTATATTCAAAATGAAAATGAGTAATTTTTTATTTGTTTTTTCTTCGTTTATTTTTTATTTAAAAATATTATTTCGCAATAAATACGTGTGTATTTATAATTTGTATGTAACATAAGTCAATTTTGATGAAAGATGGTAACAGATTGTGATAAAATGGGAATAGAATATTAATAGTTTGCCATCAATATAATAGATGGCGTTTATACAAGTTATGTTTGTTCACATCCGCCAACTAAAATAAATCAGCATTCAGTATCGCTGAGATAGAATCCTAACCCTAAATTAAGACACTATTTATTTTAGATTGATAGTCTTCACACGACAAAATACAAAAATACTGAAAGGGTAGGCAGGAGCACACATCAGCGACAACGATCAATGAGGCAGTCATTAGCCAGTCTACCAACCCAAAAATAAAAACAAATCAGCTTTTTAATTAAAGTAACGAAATATTTTGTTTAGTAGTGTAGCTGATTTATAGAGTTACACTTCACACAAATATAGGTAAGGTCGGTATGTAGGTACTAGATTTATACTGGGTGATTAAAACCTCGACGAGTTCTTAAAACTCAATGACGCTATCGACGCTACACTAATAAAATGGACATTGTGAACATTGGAACTTTAATGGTAGGTACTCAAGTACTTCTTAACTTATGATAGAGTCTAAAAGTCTAGTCTAGGAAAAAAAGTAAAACGAGCGTTGTGCCGGTCAACGTAACTTGAGAAAAGGGCAGAAAGAAGGAATCTTTGTCATAATTGTATTTAATGGTAAAATTAGCTCCTGTGCAGCTAGATGCCTTGCCGGGCTGTGGATCGTGACTCAGTTTGGTTTTATAATCTAAGCTCAGTTCAATTAGAATACTTTCCAACAAACCTTTTTGAATTTACCAAATTCAGTCAGGCCTAAACCTAAAAAATAAAATAATGTCATAAAAATCCTCAGTGACATGTTACATTGTACCATCGACTTATTTTCTCGCTACTATTTTTGTATTGTGTACATTTGAAGATTTTAGTTAATTAATTCCTTTGTTATTTTCGTTTGTAAGCTTTTTAATAAAATAAATAAGCAATGGCTTCTTCCACCCGCAATCGAGATAAGAAAGAACTGGTAAAATAATTTTTTATATAGATATGTGTTAAAATCAATGGAATAATGGATTCTTCTTGGCTGTAATAATGCTACCGATTTCCTCATTTATTTTATAGAATTTGAACCTAGCTACTTTTCGTCAGTTGTGTTATTATAGTCTCATCGTAGCAAGAGAGCTTATTGCTGAACTTAGGACTGTCCAAATGTTATGTTATATGTACTCCACTTAAAATTATTCCTCTTAAGCATTTTAAAATCAAAATTATAAATTATTTTATCCTAACTGGTGATTCCTGAATAATAAATTAAATTGACCCTGTTCATGCATGGTTGATTGGAGTATTTTTGGGAAAAATGCCGTTATGTAATTTTAGGACCCTGAGGAGATTATGAGACGCAAGTTTCGTGCCAAATGTCGTTTTCGAGCTATAGCGCGTATGGTGTTGGCAAATTGCTATTGGATGATAGAAGCTGCTGAGCAGTACGAAGGAGTTGAAGACGTAAAGAGAAGAGTGGCGCAGGCTGTGCGTGGAAAGGCCAAGAAGAAGCAACTCTTGACTATCAATGTAAAACTTTTGATTTCATTTTGACCTTTGTTTTATAATTGTCGAGGTTGAACGTTTTCAAAAACTTAAGTTTCATTTTTGTCACACAATGAAAGTGATTTTGGTTAAAATCTAACTCTAAAAAAAACAATGGGCTATGATTTATTCATAATGGCAGATGTTAAACCATGTTTTACTTTTTTTATGTAAAGTCTTGTTATACTAAACTTATTATTACGCTATTTCGATATTAAAAATAACTACATATTACTAATTAATCTATGCACATAACTACGAGGTATTCTGCATCGACCATTTTAGGCCTTATAGTTTCCTGTTTCTCATGTATTCCACTACTAAACATTTTCGAAAAAATGTAGGCGAATAAATGATATGGTTAAGTTTTTCAGGATAAAGCGCTTCTGAACAAGCCTAACAGTGAAAGAACTGATCATGAGAAGAAATATATTTATCGCATCATTGGAGGACTTAAATGTTTCAAAAGATATCCTAACGTAAGTGTGATGAATTCTGACGATCTCCCTTAGGTACTTAGCTCTACTTATAACGCTTAACTTTATTTGTAGATTAAGTTCACAAAATTATGGAAACGGTTTGATTGATTTGTGAATATGTCTGTACGTCTGACGTTCAAAAATGCCATTCTGGCCTAATTGAAATAAATGATTTTGACTTTGACTTTGACTTTTGTAGAGTGTAGGCTCTACGAGACATTAGAATTAAAATGGGCGGTTGCTACTGCAGTGACTGGGAAATCATGAAACAGCAGCTCAAGTAAACTATCAGTGTACTAAGTCATATCACCTTTAAATTACCTACGCGTTTATAAATAAAGGAAACTTACCACTTTACACGTAAAATAGGGAAATTAAACGGTATCCAATTCTTTCTCAGCATGTAAAAAAGAAGTTGGCGGCGGTTACGTATTTCAAGTACTATAGTCCCAATCGTGTGATAGTTCGACAACATCACGAAGCGCATGCGCTGTACTTCATAGTCACTGGTGACGTCATCGTCAGCCAGTTGATCTTTGATGAGCTGCTGCAGCAACATGTTCAAGTCGACATTGGTATCATGCATCCGGGAGACATGTTTGGCGAAGTTTCCCTTCTACATAATATTCCAAGGACTGCAACCTGCACGACTGGTGGTTAGAATTATCTACCTACATATTTGACTCTAGGTTATCACGCCCTGTGTTTACAAGCATTATTAACTGCCAGCGGCTTAGCCTGCGTCCCCTGGTGATAAAAAGTAGCCTATGTGTTATTCCAAACCATAATCTACCTTTGTTCCAAATCTTATCCAGATCCCTTCAACCATTTTGATGTGAAAGAGTAACAAACACACACATACACACTCATACGGTTAGTCACAAAGTTAGAAACAATGTACACATAAGTATGAAGTAGAATAGTAGGAAATAGGATTGCAAGCAGCACCCAGATGAATTTTGGCGTATTGGTAGGCGATCAGATACAGCAAAGTTTTAAGTAGAGGGGTATCTTGTTAAAATAGATGTAAAAAAAGAAGAGTTATGGCCGACTTTATGCTAATCTGTTAATTTGTTGCGAAGTAACGACGAATGGCTTTATACGAACTAAAGTTATCGAACAAACCGTTACTTGGTAACTACCTATCGATGTTTCTGTTAGTTACACAGATAGTACTGTATGCTACAAGTATAATAATAGTTGATAAAATATCTGTAGGTCACTGTGAATTACTAGCATTAATGAAAGAAGACTTCAAGAATGTACTCCAAGCTTCGGTTCAGAAGCAGTGGGATGAAGTGCGACGCGCTATGTCTGCTTTCACATACTTTGATGCGCTTGATGAGGTATGAACATAAGAGGTGGCTTTATCTATTATTTTATAGATTTTATATATTAAGTAACTTTTATCAACCCTTCACAGTATACATAAGGTTTTAAATCTTTTGAAACGTAAAGATTTTGATCACTAAACGTAAAGATAATGGAACGAATGTTCAAAGTGATCTACATTCATCTATGAAGTCTTTTCTTAAGACTCCTCCTCCTTTCCTGAATAGATCGGTACACAAATTTAATTTTTAATTTTTATAGCGTAACTTTTCTTATTCGATAGGCGTGTGTCTAAAGTTTGACGGCGTTGTAATTTTCTTTACAGGTAGCTCGACGCGAAGGATGTATTGTGGCTAAAATGAAGTCGTACAATATAAACGAAATAATACTGGGGGATGGGTGCGGGATTCCTAATTTTGTATATTTTATTCTATCTGGAGAATGTCAAATGATAGAGACTCTTCAAGTGTGTGCCACACATCGATGCGGACACACTTCTTACACGCTATACGATCCCTATGTAAGGATACACTTTTGTATTTAGTATAATGTAACTACCTTAACATTTTATAATGTAAAAAAAATTTTAGGTGCCAAAAGAAGAAAGCGAACAGGATATTGACGTGAAATATTTTAATGCTTACAAAGAAAAAGCTGCTAAAGAAATGCAACAGCTGTCTCAGGAACTACCAGAAATGTCACGGTCGGGGTCAAAACGTTTAGAAAGTATTATGAGATTTTCTGACACTAAGAGATCAGGTTCTATCCTTAAAAAAGAAAGTGTAATACCGGAGGAGATGTTGTCTAGCGAAGATCAAGTGACTTCGTCAGAGGTGGCAGCACGATCTGGATCTGTAGATGCTACGTCAGCAATGCAGTCTACATCTGAAATGGAAGCCGATTCGGGGTTACCTGGAGAACAGCGATCCTCTCTAAAATCTGAAGTGCTGTTGCAGCCTTCGGAGAATCGAGACTCAGTGAGGTAAACTAAGTAATGATTCGATATTTCTCGATGTTTGTTCGTAGAATGTAGATACTTTTATTGAGAATTGTCTTATTTTTACAGGTTTAGCGTGCAACATCCAGTGAGACCACCAAATCTTCGGACTTATTTCATGCAGGTAAATAATTTTCATTCAAATCATACTTAAGTAATGTTATCCTTTTAATTGATATTAATTTGTAAAATGGATTTAAATAATTCTAGTTTCAAAAATGTACAGGTGTGTCGATATCATCCTGGATCAACGTTTGGGTTTGGTGAAAATATGAGGGACCGCCGGATTATTGCATTAACCCCCGTCGACTGTATGTTAATGCCGAAAATGTGGCTCTTACAACGGAACACTGCTAATATCTGGTCACGTATTGAACACTTTTTGGATAAAAAGGTAAAATTATCATCTACTAAACCTGGTTTGTAAACTTTATGTTTCATTTGATTTTGTATACTTCCTTCCAAGTAGAAATTAATAGTTAATACATAGTTTTGTCCAATTATAAATCTCATCATAGACGTAGCTAAGAAAGTCTTCGCCATGGTTATATTATCCAACGATACCGTTCTTCTCTTAGATAAAAATCGCAGTTGCGACCACTCTAAAAAACTATTTACAATCAAGTTTACTTATCACTATTAATTTAAATTGTGTTAGACAGTGCGTTCTGAATGTATGGGATTTTAGCTTCCTCTAAATTGACCTAGAGACAATTGAATATATTGCAATTGACCTCTCAATTTAACGCGTTAAGTATACATATAACATATAACATTTAATAGATGTGTAATGATTTTAACGTTAAGATACTGATTATATTTGTAAAAATGGAACTCGGATAAGCTGGAACAATTTTTCTAGATATACCATGGAGAGTGCTTTTTATTGATTATGTTAACCTGCCATATCTTTTCACCATCGTCCTACGCGATAGCATTTCCATTCTTCTATTTTATATGGTTGGTAATACACAACTTCTTTTTAAAAAAGGCCGACGATATACTTGTATCTCGTTTGGTGTTGCATATGATAAGCGATGCTAATGACTTATCATCAGGCGATCCGTCGGCTTTTTGCACCTACAGATGTCATAAAATCTGTTCTGTTTTTAAAAGTATTTTCTAAATAAAATTCTTCTGTAAATAAAAATTTATTTTTATTATAGATACCATCAAAGCGGCAATTGTTTCAAGAATTTGTCTCTGCACGTCGCTGGCTGGAGTTTCGCGATCAGCTCGTGGGTGACATTGTGGCGCGCTCTAGAACCGTCAATTGGACATCCGTTCATGATGTGCCCTACTCCATTCGTATGGAAGAGATGCTTGATATTTGAATTACGCTTTTTGTTAACCTACCGTACAAGTATTAATAAAGGATATGACATAAGTTTCTTTTTTATTCATTTCCTAGATTGTCCATAAAAACGAAACTATCACATTTTAGAGTTTAGAACACGTTTCTTATTTCTGAAAAGTAACTTTGTGATAATTTGCTCTGGAAATGGAAAGAGTAGAAAGAGTTACATTATGTTTCCGACCTCTAAATTTCTGAAGTAGTGACAAATTTTGGCGTCGCGCCTTCTATCATTTTACGATCATGCGATAAAAATTAAGAAGGCTTTATGTTTTTTTATTGTAGGTACTTAAGCACCCATTTGGATCATGGGGGCGGAGGCCCGTTGATTTACATATGACGTATCTATGTCCTTAAATGTAACTAGGTACCGATATTGCGGTTCGATGACTGGGCTTCTTTTAGATCTTGCCTTATTAGTAAAATGTTTTGTGTAGGTCAATATTCAACTTTAAGATAGACGAGAAAGAGTGCTTTTGATTTGAACATTAGATAACAATTATATTGAAAGTGGACTTCCAAAATCCTTTAGTACGATCTCGAATGTTCTCGATTTGTGGTGTATCGAAAACTCATTCAAGCATTCAAGGCCTGTTTATTATATGTGACTATGTGACAAAGTTAACATGACTTTGTGAGTCGTTCGATTGTGCGGAAGCTATTTTTTACTGGTCTAGTTTCTGGCGTTTGTTAAATCGGTAGGTACCTACATGTATCGCACAGATATACCTGTATTATTGAAACGTCGATTTAATTGTAACTTTGGGTTAAATATGGTAAACTTGCCAGTTGATGAGCTTGAACAATTAGACAGTTAGTTATTAAATAGATAACTGTTTACTCTTCAAGAAGCCTACTACCTCGAACATTAGCACTTCAGGCAAAGTAATACGCATGCGTAAACCAAGAAAATGGTGATGGCGTCTGGTAACCATGGCAACCGGTTTTGGCGGGAAGCGCCCACGCTTGGCTATGGCTAATCCAGCGGAGACATTCATCAACTCGCTCACGGCGATAACTAAACACATTCGACCGCAGTGCACCGCTCCGAGCGACCGCCGCGCTACCGACGACAGCCACGGCTGATCGAAAATTCGCGACTGTAATGTCTAACGTAAATAAATAAACTAGTAGTATAGTACAAAAAACAACGATTACGAATAATTCTAATAGTTGCATCGTAGCATAGTGTTGTCCGATTCGATTCATTGTTGTTACTTGTTGAAATCAGAGCGAGCAGGTGAGTTACTACTCTATATGTTATTAACATTTATATTTATTAATACGTATCTAGGTATGTTGAGAGGAACAGGTATCTATGTGTTAATTATGCATATTATGTAAATAGATACTTAGTGATATTATAATTTTAAGCATTTATTCCATGATTAGTTATTATTATACACCTATTCATTACAAAACAAGATCGACTGGAGAATATTTAGATCCACTTTTCTTTTGGTGTGTATTATTTTGTTACAGAAATACTTTTTTAAAGGCGTTTTAGACTTTAAAAGGCTAAGTAAGCAAAGGGAATAATACAGACGCCATATACTACGACAACAATTGCAATTAGCGTCTATTATTTAATAAATGGTCTGCCGTGACTCAGATCTAACCAGATTCAATATATTTTTTATAAAGTTACAAATGGCACTATTCGAATAAGATGTCTTACAGGACACAATTTCAGCCCTTTAAAAAAGGACAATGGAAAACCATACAGTACAGACAGTAGGCGTTTTTACTTATCGGAAAAACCCAACTTGATTCAGAACGTTTGTACTGATAACGTAAGAGTAGGTCACTCTGAACTTCAAACGATAACTATTCATCTAGAAGAAGAACCTAGATTAAATCTAGTTATATGTAACTTAATATGTTGAGATGTTCGTACAATAATAATGGAATTATTGTAATTACACTTTTAAGAAATTATAGGAGTTGAAATGAAAGGTAACATTGCAAATAAATAGTATATAGCTATTAAACATCGCCAATAGTTAGGTAGTTCATCAAAGTCATCATAATCAATTTGATCCTAATTTTCGTTTTAATTTTTTAATATGTCAGAATAACAGTATGTAGCTTATGATCTTTGTGAAAGTGGAAAATCTACAAAAATAACAAAGTCGCTATCTGTTTGTTTACTTGCAAGAATAACAAACAAAAGCAAGTAAACAACGAACGAAACTGTGCAATTCATTTCAATGGACGCCAAAAATATAAATTGGAAAATCGTTACCAACAATAACATGTCCACTTTATTACTTACGACACCAGACATTTACCAGGCACAAAGTACTATAATTTTTGGCAAAATGTTTGCAACAATAAAATGGACGTTAACTCAATCTGCACGCAGTTTAACTCAATTGACAGTCCGTTGTTCTAATGGAATAATCTTCCTATTGTGTACAAGGTCATGTAGACTGCAAAATATTTCAGAGACTGCAAATAATAAAATATGTTGATGAAGTCATATTTACCTATTTTGTAGGTACACATACATTTAAGCAAGCGTGAAACTGCGTTGCGGTAACACCAAGTTAGGTGTGAAGTTTGTCTAACGCAAACTGTGTACGAATTAGTAATAGAAAATAAGATCAAAAGCTGGATAATATTGTACGAAAAGTTCTTCCTTTGGCTTTTTATTGGCTGTATGACGCTGAGTTCTTTTTGAGACACAGTTTTTTTTCTCTTGGCACACACCTTAGCCTGCAGGATTCAGACTCATACAAATCCCGAGTTTACGGCGGGTCGCGTTCCGCGTCCGCGGAGGACTTAAGGGGTTACCGGGGCTCCGGCTCGACGTGCAGGAGTAGGAACGGGGTGGTTTTTAGTCAGTCAGAGTCTGACGCTCCCTCCCGCCTCACCCTGGCGAGAAGAAGTCATTCGATGATATTCCCCGCTTAAAAAAAGACCCATATAAATATGCAGATAAAATTACTTTATCCTTTGTTTCATTTTGTAATCCTTCAAGGTAATTCGAGGTCTGGAATCTAAGTTTAGGAGTAAGTCACGGGATGCACCGAATATCTGCATTAAGTGTAACTAAACCTTGGCAATGGGTCACAAATTTTGCAAATTCTACGAATACTACGAACTACCTATTGACACTAATACTTGCTAATACAAAGTAAAATCGCTAGAATCATCTGCATAGGTGTGATCTATTCTCGTACATTACCTTTACAGTGAAGTGTTTCTTTATGTGACTAGGATCTGTTTTTTAATTGTCAACCTGGATACACACGTTGATTCATTACACTCACCGTTCTGATGGTGAACTCATCTAGCACACGTTTGCATAAACTTGTCGATCAGTTTACGCGTATTGTTACTTATTTGTTTGACAACCAATTAACATATATTATCAGACATCTGAATAGGAACGTGACCGATAAATCTTGCTATACAGGAATTGTTAGAACTTATACACCTGTCTGACTTTTTACGCGCATTTTTGGCACGCAAAATGACCTAATATAAGTTTTTTACTTTACCATCATAGGCATGATTGTTGCAACGTCCTTAACATTTCAACCTCGCAGCAAAATGTTTCCTGATGGTGTTGTAATGAAATGCATGCGTTCGTCGCGAACGAAATGGTCGATGACGGCATGCGCGGCCCCAGCCGACCACCGGACAGGTTATCGGCAAATGAGCTCAATTGAGACAACACTTGTTCTGATAAGTTGTTATTGGATAACAGAGCCTAGACAACCGTATACTCAATGTCAAACTAATTAATACTAACTGATTAGTAGGAACCTGTGACTAATATAATACACATGTAATGATCCATAGGTAAACTAAAATGTTATTATGAAAATAAATCACTATTATAGTTTGTGGCCAAGGGCAGCCTTGAAGCGTCTGTCGTTTCAATATAAGAACTGAAAAGAAAGAATCACGCAAGACAAGAATGACAAAAATAAAATACGGCTATATGGTCGAGTTTCTAACATAAAGAAGCGTTTTAGTAAAAGTTGGAATATTCGCGAAGGCTTTAGGACGCAATGAATGGCCCAAATACAATTTTATTCATTTTTCACGACGACAGTGACTCGTACAAGCTGGCACTGAATTAGCTTTTCTTTCAGCCGGTGACGAGTTCGATATACATAGCTATGTTTTTATATTTATACTTATATCGAGTTGTTATTTTTCCATGTGTGCTAGACATAGATTTTTGTGTTATAGAAAGTAGGCCTATGTCTTTTGTCTAAATCATAATAAAGCCTTGAAAGGAACAGGACGCCCCGAATTCATGTTTTTGTCGATGTTGTTTCGAAATGGTTTTAGCACTGATATCGATGTTGATAATTAAGTATTAAGTATGCCGTTAACAATGAATTTGGATTGGAAAACCTTAAGTGCTTACAAGGTTTGCAACACCCACAATGAACATTTAATGAAATAAGGAAAAATCGAGCAAGCCATTTACAAGTTTATTTTATTCATTGATTTCATTCATGTTAAATTAAACGGGTGTGTTTTATGCAAAAGAGTATGGAAGTAAGTATAAAATGAAAGCTTATTGAAAATAGAAATCTATCGACAACACGTTGGTTATAATCACCGGTCATTTTGTCGAGTACTTACACCATAAAATAATCAATTTTCTTTCATTGGTCCATAGGTACATACGTTCAACTCATAATATAAATTATGTATTAGATTTCTAGTTACTATTTCCGAATCATTTTACTTGGAAACATAAATAAGATAAAATGTCAAGATTTGCATTGATAATCACTAAAGAAAATGTCTACAAATAGCCTAATGTATTGACTCGACCGGAGTGATACCACGTCGCCACGGGGCCTAACAGAATCGTCGTGAAACAACGCTTACGTTATGTTTCACTGTGTGGGTTAGATTCATCATCATCATAATCGTCATCAGCCGGAAGACGTCCACTGCTGGATATACGCTTCCCCCTTAGATTTAGACCTGCACTGTAGTATGTTAGTG